ACCTCCCCAAATTCCCCTCCAGGGGGGCGCCAAGGCCCGGGGGGGAGGGGCGCAGCTGGGCTCCAGCTGGGGAACGCTGGCAGCTGCGGCTCTGCCTGGACACTGATGAGTCATCAGCGCCGCGCGCTCTGATTGGCTCAGCCCTGCCTGAGCCCTGCGCCTGCACCAAGGGGGGACACCCTGCTCCAGGGGGGATGGCCCCAAAACGGGGGAACCCCAGCAAAGGAAGAACAACAAAGGCTCTTTACAAACTGATCCCCTCAACCTCATTGCACATAGGGCCAGGGACGTGGACATAAGGAAGTGACAGGAGGAGCCAGCAGCTGCACAAAATGTTATTAATTGATGACACAGACTGCTGCTCAGCCAAGGTCCTGCTAAATTCATCAACTTCCAGAAGAACAACAAAGACTTAACACAGCCATCAATATCAGTAGCTATACAAAAGTGGGGTGCACATTAAGGGGGTTATGTAGCAGGTGCATTGGGAAGTCTGTACTGCTTAAGTACTTCAGCCAGTGGGGAAAGGAAGGAGATGTGGTGTTGGAAACCGAAAAATAGAAACTTCTACAGATGCTGAAGGGTCTTGGAAAGAGCATGGATTGATGTAGTGATGAAGGCACACAGACACTGTGTAGAGAAATCATAAACTTATGTTCCTATCATTATAATTATTATACTAGAGTAAGTAAGAAATTATATTAGGTAAAATTGTTTGAGGTTTAAACTGTAATAGTGTGACTTACAGAGTAGGTAAGAGATCTAGAAACTATAACAGAGGTGTGTATGAGTACGTGACCTGTCAGCTTATTGGCTAAAAAGAGTGATACAGTGCAGCAAAATTAAACAAAGGTGATAGGTTAATAAGTGAAAACAAGCTTTGTGTCAACTGTCTATTGGACCAAAATGTTATATATTGCTGTGCAAAGAAGAAATTCGTGTCTTCCTTGAGCTATGGGTGACTTCTTGCTCTTCTAAATCTCATGCCCCAAGACTGGTATCTTATCTGGCTACTTGAGCAATAAATCATCTCAAAGCAAGGTGGTCCCATCCCTCATTCTACATCTCAACGATGTGGTGCCTCTATGAGGTCGATCGCTAGGAGTAGTACCAAGAAAGCCCCAGTGAACGTGATCCCGGGAATTAAGCTTTAGTCTGAAAGGTTACTCCAACGAGTAATCAAGAAGCCTATGCAATCACTCAATCGATGAGGATGGCAGAGGTGCTCGATTTCATCCCTGGCCAGGGTGAGTCACATGAGGACTGAGGTATCAGGATGTGAAGTAAAATTTTAAAGCAACAGAGAGATGTTTATTATAAATTTAAAAAAAAGGAAAAAAAAAATATAAGAAGTTATTATCCTCCTAAGCAACAGTTAAGGAGCTTTCTCATTTGGATTCAGTGGAATTTGCTTGATATGGACCTTGAGTCAGCCTTTAAGAAGTTTCTCTGGAATGCTGTGGGATATCGCCTACCTTCACTGCTTTTTCTGTGCTTTTTGTTAATATTGTTAACAAGCGATCTACACAGGCTGCAAGCCCTGTAATTCTACCTGTGTCACAACAGCAGCCATCTTTACCTCCCACTGCAAACATTCTTGGCTATGCCCTCCTTTGGAGAGAGTGGGGAGAGTCAGAGAGAAAAAAATAAGGAGATGTCCAATGTTTTTAAATCGATTGTGGACATACAGGGGCAAGATATTAACTTTACCTTTGAAGAGGAGCCAAATTTAGATCAGTTTCCACCTGACCCAGGGCGGCATGGGGGAGCGCTGGAGCCTGCGCAGAGAACAAAGGCACCCCCTGGCGGAGCCGCTGCAGAAGAAGCTCCAAGGCCACACTGGACAAATATCAGCAATTACAGAAACAGTTGAGCAGAGCCATGGTGGCTCAAGCAGCTTCAAAGGGAGACAAAATAGCCAAAAAAATCACTAACTATATGGTATCCAGTTCAAAATTCATAACTGTAATTATAGGTTGATAAGCTGCAATGGTCACTGCTGCTACCACCTGGTTCATAGAGACTCTTTGCTTAACATCGCCTGTTTTTGTACAGTCGTGTCCTTTTCCCTCTGTCTGTGAACAACAAGAGATATATTGAGTGAAAGAACTAGGTTTGTTAAAGTTAACTTTGAGGGGTTTTTTCTCTCCATTTTTCCCCTCTGCAAGTGTATATGGGGCATGGTGAAGAATACAGTGGAACCTTCTAGAGATAACAGCAGCCAACCAGGGCAGTTCCTTTCCCCTCCCCCCCATCCCTCTCCAAGAAGAAGCACCAGGGTAGTACCCAGTTTGTTAAGAAGTCATGATTCATTGTTTTCTTAGAATGTATTTATATACCTTTTTAGAGCTAACTTTGTGTTTTTAAGTAATTATGAGTTCTTGCAGTTTTACAGTTTTACTGGAGAAATTATTGTGACCCCGTAGAAAAGGGGGCAGAAAAGGAGGGTGGGGACAGTTTTTTGCTGGCTTTCTTCGGCTTCGGGGAAAGACATTTCGTTTTGCTGGGTCGCAGAGCTGCTGCGGTGGGGAGAAGGGAATTTCGCCATCACCCAGACAGAGCTGCGGCTTCTTCTCCTTCTTCCCTCTTTGTTGGTGACCTCACACCCCCTGTCCTGCCGGGACATGTGGCAGTGCCAGGCACCGCCACGGAGCTGCTGATCCACCTCAGCCACCGGCCCAGGATCTCAGCTCATCCCTGCTGTTCCAGCTGAGTGTTCCTCGGAGCCCTGCAGGAGCACCGGGACTGCCCGCCCGAGGGGGTTTGTGAAAACAAAGCCTCTCTCCCATCCCATCTCAGCCGAGACAGCTGTCCCAGGGTCCCTAGTTCTGTTTTCTTGTTAATGCTGTAGTTATTGTTGTTTGTTTGCCTGGTTATACTAGTAAAGAACTGTTATTCCTATCCCCAGATCTCTGCCTGAAAGCCCCTTGATTTCAAAATTATAATAATTCGGAGGGAGGGGATCTACATTCTTTCATCCCAAGGGAGGCTCCTGCTCTCCCTAGCAGACACCTGTCTTCTAGAACCAAGACAATATACCAATTTGGACTAAGGATTTTAATTAAAAATTGGACTTGATGTTTCTGCAAAGTGCTACAAAAGCTGAATGACAAATTGCCAAACCCTTCATTGTTGTGGCTTTTCTCTAGTAAAACTGTACTTTCAAAATCCTAACAAACTTAAGCTTGTACCAGGCAAATTCCTACTAGAAATGAGAATTTTCAGTAACATCTGCAGTTATTATGAGTTATTCTCAAGGCCAAATTACATAAAATCATAATGCATTTGTTACATCTTTATAATCTCTGTAGTAAATCCATGTTGCTGTTTTATTATGTTCAAAAGTTATATACCAAACTTTCAGTTGCCTTTTTTTGTAATAATAAGGTAAGACTGAGTTATGTTGTCAGTTAATATAGATTAAGTGTTAATAGAATTAAGCAAAGTTAAGTTTCACTAGGTTTAGGTCTGAGTGTTCTTAATACTCTTTTAGAGTTAAGTTTTGTTATTTCCTTCTTTCAAAATTAATTTCTACCAGGTTTGAAATTTAAATTGTCTCCCGTTTCGTTAAAAGACACTTGTCTAAATTGCAAAGTTTAGTTATTTTCCTAGAGAGATGAGGATGACTACAACTGAAACAGCTGTGATGGAACACTGATAAACACCTGCATGTGAATGGAAGAAGATACAGTCTGTTGCATCCTTCATTTCATCCAAGGTTTAATTATTCATTACAATCTTTACTGGTTTTGTTTTCTATAGCTTAATTGTTTTTCAGTGCTTCCAGAATTCCAGAAAAATCTATCATTGCTGAAAGTTAGCTACCATGAGAGAAACTTCAGATTAAACCAACTGCTAAATGGTTTGATTGGTCTGTTATGTAAGACTTCTAATCATTTCCTTTACACAAATGCACTTCAACAGTTTGCTGTGCTTTAAGCATCTCATAGCTGCTATTATTAAGAACCTTGTTTTGAAAATGAGTTAAGAGGCATCTTTCCAGCTTAAAGCCGGGCCTGGCCAAGCCTTGACTTTACCTAAATGGAATGTTTGCCAACAAGTCCAGATGTTTTCTGCACCAAATCAGTATTTGAGTCACTTGTTGACTCAGCAATTTGACCCTATTAATATGACAGCTAGATTAATTTTGAAGTGGGCTTGGAGAATCATTTCCAGAGGTGGTTATCCAGTCCTTCGCTGATTTGAGATCTGTCAACTGTTTGCAGACTCTGAGATGCTGG